AAAAAAAAAAAAAAAACAAAACAGAACAGCTTTTCTTTGAAAACATTAGCAGTTATTGTTCACTCTGTTTTGTTACTTTATGCTTTTAACAAATTTATCCTTCTACAGCTTCAAGAAGAAAAAAGTTGTCAGTGTTGTGTATTACCTTTGATGAGCAGAATAAAAAAGTTACTGGGCACCACATTTGTAGAGGGACATTTAAGGGAAGAAAATCAGGGGAGTGAAGACTGGAAAATGTGCTGTAAAGAATGACTAAGGGCGCCTGGGTGGCTCAGTTAAGCGTCTGACTCTTGGTCTTGGCTCAGGTCAGTATCTCATGGTTCATGAGTTCGAGCCCCACATTGGACACCATGCTGACAGTGCTTGAGATTCTCTGTCTCTTCCTCTCTTTCTGCCCCTCCCCAACATGTGCTGTCTCTCAAAATAAACTTAAAAAAAAAAAAAAAAAAAAAAGAATGATTAAAATATTTGAGCATGTTTGGCCTGAAGAGAAAAAACAGCAAAATTACAGATGTGAAAGATTTGAAGTGAATGATTTGAAGGACTGTGTGTGGAGGATATGTTAGTTTTATTTCACATAACTCCAGCAGGCAGAACCAGGCCTAATTGGCGGAAATACCAGGTTTGTGTCATGACATTAAAAGGAAGAACTTTCTAAAAGGGCAATTCCAATCCAGAACGGACTGCTATATGAAGTAGTGAGTTCTCCTTTAAGATGAAACTTAAGATTAAAATTGAAATTATTCTTTGTTTAAATGGAAATTATGCAGGTGTCTATATGGATTAAGTCAGCTATTAGGAACCTTTTTTCAGTAGTGTGTGAGTTACTTGAAAAAATAGAATGTCCATTTAATTAAATTGGCTCCCATAGAACCCATTTTCATGTGAAAATGAAATCATTTGAAATCTTATGCTTGTAAATTGTTTTCTAACCCCAAAATGTTTTTATACAGAATGTTTCTCTTGTTTCATTGAAACTGGTAGATATTTCTGAATAAAGAGGATAAAGCACATTGTAAAAGAAAGAATTTAACATCTTTATAACAGTGAAATCCTTAAGATTGATATTTTAGATAATAATCAGGCTGTCCTATAACTCTTACGCTCAAAGCTAAGTACTTTCTGATTTGATATTGTCACTTAATTAGAGTTTTGATACAGTATTGCCTTTTGAAAGCATTTTATTAGTCTTTTTGATTAGAGGACTCTGACATCTTTAACATTGTAAATTGGGATAAGATTGTTGTCATCACTCAGTCATGAGAAGTCAGTAAAAATACCCTTATAGAGCAGATTTTTAAAAAAATGATTTTCAGCAATTTTTTAGAAAGCTTCTAACAGAGCAATATACTAATTTCATATGTTAGCAGATGCTGATTTTAAAGAGCAAAGCAGGGGGTGCTTGGCTGGTTCAGTTGGAAGAGCATGCGACTCCATCTCAGGGCTATGAGTTCGAGCCCCAGGTTTGGGGTAGAGATTACTTAAATAAAACTTAAATGCTATCTCGCTTTGCTCTTTCTTTTTTTTTCTGTTAATGTTTGAAAAGTTTTGATAATTTCGATATCCATTTATTTATCCATGACTTGATATGTCCCGTCTTTCTTTAGAATTACTGGATGATTCATTCCTGGAATTCTGCTCAATTTTTATTTATTTACTACCTTAATAGTAGTAATCATATTTTATATTTATTGATTACTAACAATGTGCCTGGGTACTACAATCTGTGCCTTATTACAACACCTCTAATTCTTATTGCTGACCCTTAAAATAGATACTCTTATTCCCATTTTAGCAGCTAGGTGAGGCTCAGAGAGGTGGTGTCTTTTTCATGGTTGCATATCTCATAAACGCCTGAACCCATTTTAAAGCCAGATCCTTCTTTAAAAAAAAAATTTTTTTTTAATGTTTATTTTTGAGAGGGAGGGAGGGGCAGAGAAGAGGAAGACCAGAACCGAAGCAGGCTCCAGGCTCTGAGCTGTCAGCACAGAGCCCCACGTGGGGCTCGAACACACAGATCATGAAATCATGAATTGAGCCAAAGTCAGATGCTCAACCATCTGAGCCACCCAGGCGCCCCTAAAGCCAAGTCTTTCTTGAAGCCTAGTTCTTCCAGCTTTGTGAGTTTGCTGTTGAGTAGACAGGAAGGTTAAACTCTCGGCAGGTACCTCACACATGCTCCTGGACTCCTTTCGAATGAGAGAATATCATCGCATGTATTTCTCATAGTCCCGTCGTAGGCCTGAATTTGCCTTGGGTTTGTAGTTAGTGGCCATCCCTGCTGGAGTCTACACCTCCGTTACAAGTGGGTGGGACCTTTGGAGAGATGTAGGCAGGGCTGGGGGCTGCTCCTCTTCTCCCCATTTTGAACTTGGTCCGTAAGAAGGGAAGAGACACGAGACATTATTGCTCACTGAGATCACTCTTCAAGGACCAGAATTTAGCAGAGCATTTATACCATGTTGATGGAAATGTTCTAAACTGGATTGTAGTGTCAACCTGCTCTGAGTATAGTTTAAATATTTCTGGTTAAAATTTCATTCGTATGGTTAGAGTGATGATATCAGAGTCGACTGAAGTAGAACCAAGACTGTCCTCCACTGAGCACTGCCACACTTTGAATTTTGAGGTCCTGTTTCTTTTTTCTCCCTTTTCAAGTTTTATTTATGTAAGTAATTTTTACATGCTATGTGGGGCTCGAACTCATGACCCCAAGATGAAGAGTTGCATGCTCCTTCCACTGAGCCAACCAGGTGCCCCTTGAGATTCTGTTTCTGTGTATCATATTTTTAGATACCTTTCTCTGCTGCTATACTAATTCCTCTCTCCCCACTATTACAAATTATTTTTTTTCCTTTTTTTTTTTTTTTTTTTTGAGAGAGGGCGGGCAGGGGAGGGGGGAGGAGGGAGCGAGAATCCCAAGCAGGCTCCATGCCCAGTGTGGAGCCTAATGCGGGGCTCAATCTCACAACTGTGAGATAATGACCTGAGCTGAAATCAAGAGTCGGATGCTTAACCGACGACTGAGCCACCCAGAGGCCCCACAGATTATTCTATCATAAGCTGCTGTGGGCTAGGAAATCCAAATACTTAGAGATTGCTCAACTAGAACAAAAGTAACCCGAGTTTGAATGAGACCGGAGGGGAGTTTTTATGAGCAGATATACTGAACACCTTAAAACGTGCAGTTTGTGTTACATACTTTAACTTTCATTGCGTAGATGGCAGCTGTCAAATCAGTGCCATTATAGCTAACATAGAGAGTGTTTTTGTTCTTCTTTTAAACAGAGAAGAAGATACAGAAAATGAAAATGAGAAGAAAATTTGGTACTACAGCACAAAGGTCCAACTTGCAGAATTAATTGACTGTCTAGATAAAGATTACTGGGAAGCAGAACTCTGCAAAATCCTGGAAGAAATGCGTGAAGAAATCCACCGACACATGGACATAACTGAAGACTTGACCAATAAGGCTCGGGGCAGTAACAAATCCTTTCTGGCGGCAGCTAATGGTAAGAGGGAAATCTTCTCATTTTACTTGTTACTAAATTTGAGATAAATTCTTGGTATTAAGTCACTACAAAATTTGAAGATACTAACATTTCAAATATGTATATTTTAATTCCCAATACTTTCATTTTCCCAAGAGAATCTTGTTCATCCCAGCATACATTAGGGATGCTATGCATTTTAGCATTTTGTATATTGCCTCGGTCATTACTAATATTTCCCCAACTGTTTTCTTTATTTTTTTTTTTTAATTTTTTTTTTTTAATGTTTATTTATTTTTGAGACAGAGAGAGACAGAGCATGAACGGGGGAGGGTCAGAGAGAGAGGGAGACACAGAATCTGAAGCAGGCTCCAGGCTCTGAGCTGTCAGCACAGAGCCAGACGCGGGGCTTGAACCCACAGACCGGGGGATCATGACCTGAGCCGAAGTCGGACGCTTAACTGACTGAGCCACCCAGGCACCCCCCCAACTGTTTCCTTTAATTCAAGTTACCTTATTATTAGGAACCCTATTTTTAATTATGAGAAATAGTATTCTTTTAAAATTTAGTCTTTGCTTTCTTTTTTATTTTAAGTAAAACTTAATTTTAGAATAGTTTTATAGTTACGGAAAAGTTGCTAAGGTAGAACAGTGTTCCATATAGCCTGCACCAGGTTTCCCCTGTTAGTAATGTAGTTAGTGTGACACATCTGTCATAAGTAGTGAACCAATATTAATACATTATAATACCTGAACTCTATACTTTATTCATATTTCCTTATTTTTACTGACATCCTTTTTCTGTCTCATGGTCGCATCCAGAACACCACATTGCATTTACTTATCATGTCTCTTAAGGCTCCTCTAAACTGTCACAGTTTCTCAGACTTCTTATTTATTTATTTATTTATTTATTAAAAAAATTTTTTTTTAACCTTTATTTATTTTTGAGACAGAGGGAGACAGAGCATGAACGGGGGAGGGTCAGAGAGAGGGAGACACAGAATCGGAAACAGGCTCCAGCCTCCGAGCCATCAGCCCAGAGCCTGACGCGGGGCTCGAACTCCCGGACCACGAGATCGTGACCTGGCTGAAGTCGGACGCTTAACCGACTGCGCCACCCAGGCGCCCCCAAAACAATTTTAAATCAACACTCCGTCCAAGCCTTTTAATTTTTTTTAAAATTTTTTTAACGTTTATTTATTTTTGAGACAGAGAGAGACAGAGCATGAACAGGGGAGGGGCAGAGAGAGAGGGAGACACAGAATCTGAAACAGGCTTCAGGCTTTGAGCTGTCAGCACAGAGCCTGACGTGGGGCTCGAACTCACGGACTGCGAGATCACGACCTGAGCTGAAGTCGGACGCTTAACCGACTGAGCCACCCAGGCGCCCCATCTCAGACTTCTTATTTTTGATGACCTTGACAGTTTTGACGGGTACTGGTCAGGTATTTAGTAGAATGCCCTCTGTCTGGATTTGTCTCATGTTCTTCTCCCAACTGAGATTATGGATTTGGGGAGGAAGACTACAGAGGTGGAAAGTGCCATTCTCATCATCATACCAAGATTATGTGCCGTCATCGTGACTTATCACTGATCATGTTAACCTGGCTCAGGTAGCGTTTGTCAAGTTTCTCCACTATAAAATTACTCCTTCTACCCATGCTGTGCTTTGGGGAAGAAAGTCACTACGCACAGCCCACACTCAGGGAGGGGAGAGTTAGGCTCTCCCTCCTGGAGGTAGTGGCTATCTACATAAATTATTTGGGATTTTTCTGTTCTTCAGGAAACAGGAGATTTGTCTGTTCTTCTAGTTTATTATTCAGTCATTTATTTATATCACTGTGGACTCATGGATATTTACCTTATCGCTCGGGTTACACTTCAATACCTAATTTACCTTGGGTTACCTTGGATTATGGATATTTACTTTATAGTTTGGGTTATATTTCAATACCTAATTTACGTTCTTGCTCAACTTCTTGCTTTGTAAAAGATAATAAATACTTACGATTTTTTAAAAAAGTTCAAATAGTATAAAAGGGTATACAGTGAAAAGTGAATCTCCTTCATAATCCCGTTTCACCTTACTTTTTTTCCAGACATGCTATTATTGCCATTTTTTAAATCCTGCCAGATAGACTCTGCATGTTTAATAAGTATCACCTGTGTTTTCTAATAGTGCATTTTAATCTTAGATAAAATGATTAAGACCTTGAAAGTACACTTGAACTGCCTGGCTCTGTTCTTCTATATATGTTATCTGCTATACATATAATCCTGTTAATTTTCCCATTCTCCATTTACTGAAAAATTTCCCCATTTTCTATTTGCTTAAAGTAGAATGTTTATATTTAATAAATATATCTACTTAAGCTATATCGGAGCCTGTTTCTACATGCTCTGCATCTGTAGTGCCTTTAATTCATGTGTATTTTTTGAGAATGCTATAGTCATACTGTTAGATATAAATACTGTTGCATACAAATATACTTCGTCTTCAGAAACTAGCAGACTGATTACCAAGGATTGTGTTTATTCATATCTGGTGGTAGGAAGTATTTTTCTGTTACATCTGTTTAGAAAAATATGTAACATTTTCATCAGATAAGTTTTAGTTGTCAGAATTCTTTGGGGAGGTTGTATCCCCTTCTTACTATTTTCTCTCCATACAGTAGATCAAATAATAAGAAATTTTATTACTTTCAGTCAGGCTATATCCCTCTTAGTTTTCTTTCATGAATCATGGCATTAAAATCGGCAAATCTCAGGGCGCCCGGGTGGCTCAGTTGGTTGAGTGTCCGACTTTGGCTCAGGTCGTGATCTCATGGTTGGTTCATGGGTTTGAGCCCCGCGTCGGGCTCTGTGCTGACAGCTCAGAGCCTGGAGCCTGCTTCAGATTCTGTGTCTTCCTTGCTCTCTGCCCCCCCCCCACTCACGTGCGTGCTCTCTCCCTCTCAAAAGTAAGTAAAAAAAAAAAAATTAAAAAAATCGACAAATTCCTTTTTATTCTTGCATTCTCAGCTTTTAGTACGATAATAAAGAACTGTCCAGTCCCTTAAAAAGCAATGTTAAGTGTGTTTTTATCAAATATGTTAAATTAGAAATATTTTCTAGAGTGAGCTTGCCTATTCACAAAATTATGTACATAATATCATCTTAACTAATGAACAAAACCAAAATAAGATGTATAATTAAAATGTTTAGTGGTCTGACTTAGGGGAATGTGAAAAACTAAAAGTGTCCAATATAGAGGAATTAGTTAATTCCATTATGGATTATCATGTGGTAGAACACTACAGAATTGGAGAATTATGTAAGATACCATGCAAAAACAGTGCCTGGGTCATTGAGGTACTTAAATTCTTCTTCTCTAAAAAAATTCTTTTTCTCTAACTAGGTAATAGACCAGCTTTTATCAAAAAATAACCAACTAGCATAGAATGATTATAGTTGGTATTCTATTTATATTTTTCAAATTTCCTACAATGAGCATGTTATATTTCAGTGTAATTCAGCATATAGTGTACTTTTTGTTATTAAAAAAATTTTTTTTAATGTTTCTTTATTTTTGAGAGAGAGAGAGAGAGAGAGAGAGCGTGCAAACACTAGTGGGGGAGGAGCTGAGAGAGAGGGAGACAACAGAATCCGAAGCAAGCTCCCGGCTCGAGCTGTCAGCACAGAGCCTGACGCGGGGCTCGAACTCATAAACCTCTAGATCGTGACCTGAGTTTAACCGACTCAGCTTCCCAGGTGCCCCAAGAGTCAGATGCTTAACCGACTGAGCCATCCAGGTGCTCCTACCATATATTTTCTAGAAGTGAAGATTACCCCATTGGTTGTGTTCTATGGGCATCAATATCGTATCGGTAATCTTGATCCTTTTTTCTTAGTTCCGGTGTTTTGACATATGTAACTTTAATAACTTGTATTGAAACTCTTGAGTGACATTTGTAGTACTTTTTCTATATTTGGTATACCTGGAAACAAAATTTTTTGTTTTTATTGTAGAAGAAATTTTGGAATCCATAAGAGCCAAAAAAGGAGACATTGATATTGTTAAAAGCCCAGAAGAAATAGAAAAGGACAAGAATGAGACTGAGAATAATAACTCCAAAGATGCTGAGAAAAGCAGAGAGGAGTTTGAAGACCAGTCCCTTGAAAAAGATGGTGATGACAAAGCACCAGATGATGATCCTGAGCAAGGAAAATCCGAGGGTAAAAAAATTACTTGGCTAGAAAATAGTATTTCATCAGTGTTATTTATGAAACCTCCAGTTTTGCTTTCAAAATGAAAATGAATCCTTTTTTTTATTACTAATACCTCTATAATTTTATATTTCTAAAGAAATTAGGATATCCTTTCCTCTTGTAACATGTATAATCATTGTAATGAGTTTTATGTATTGGTAGATTTGCTATAATATACCCATATCTCTATTTATACTTCCTAATAAGATACCCTTTCCCTGTAAGATTTGTTGGTGAAAAAAATCACGATTTTTGTACCAGAATATACACTTTTGTGTGTGTTACGTTCATTTTTATATTAATTACTTAAACGTTCTTAATATTTTAAATACTCTTTGGATTACCTACTGCAAAAATATCCCAAAATCTAATTGCTTCAAAATGGCCATCAAATAAAAGCAGGTTTTCTTGGTGATCATTCATTTTTAGTAGTTGATTGAATGTGGCCATTTGTCCTAGAGCAATTTAAAGGATATCTTTAAAGTTTTGTTGTGCATTTTACTGTAGAGCCAACAGAAGTTGGGGATAAAGGTAACTCTGTGTCAGCAAATCTTGGCGACAACACAACAAATGCTTCTCCAGAAGAGACTAGTCCCTCTGAAGGGAGGAGTCCCGTGGGGTGTCTCTCAGAAACCCATGATAGCAGCAACATGGCAGAGAAGAAGGTGGCATCTGAGCTCCCCCAGGACGTGCCAGGTACAGAGGGCAGTGTATCAATGCCTCTGTAATGGGGGGAATCCTTCCCTTTGGTAGTAAGAGCTGAATGTCACCTGGAATTTTAAAGTATGTGTTCATTCATGCTGCTTGCTTACATAAGTGCCATCCCTGATTGCTAAATTGTCACCTAACATTTGGAGTTTGACACATTCTTGCAGTTAGTGCTTGAAACTCATCATAATCTTCATGCTTTTTTAAGTTCATTTAGCTGGTTTTGACTAATAGACTTATTTGTATATTTTATCACCAGATCATAGTGGCAGACATTTTGGTTTTAAGTACTTACATACTAATGGCTCAGTGTTGAATGATTTGACCATTCCAATTCTGTACGTACTAACAAATTAATTTTATGTTTGCATGTGCTTGTGTGGTTTTTTTTAAACATTTCAAACCATGATGTTATGATAGAAAACCATTGTCACAAAACATTTTGTGCAAGATGTATTTTGAAATGTAAGTTAACCAATAATCCATATTTTAAGCTTTTCTAAAATTAAAATTATACTTGAAGTAAGTTTTATCACACATGAAGGATGTCGTTATACCTTTCATTTTGCCTTGTTTTTAAATGAGAAAGAATTTTTATTATAGGAACTGTGTATTTTTTTAAAAAGCAAACTAAAAAATTCAGATGAGTAAAACAAAATAAACACTGGTAATCCTACCAGAAATTAAGAATTGTAACTAATACCTTGATGGAAATCCTTAATGATTTTTTTCTATATATTATAAGAATATCACATATTTTCCAACTTGCGGTACTTTCGTTGCTACATTTCGTACTGGGGATGTGATTCTGATGTGTTGGGAGGAAGATAGCATTAGCAGTTGGAAGATTTGATTCTAGATCTGCTTCTGTCATTAAGTCAATGTTATTTAATCTTTCAAGGCCTCAGTGTTCCTGTTCTGTTAACTTGAAGGATTTTGATGATCAACAGTGCTTGTGTGACTGCTCTCAACTGAGTGTCTATAAACAGTAAACTGTTGCTGAAAACACCAGTGTAACATTAGGTTACATGCAGTGATGTGTGTGGAGGGTCCCGAAGAATCACAATAATAAGCTCACCATGTTTTATGCTAATGAGAGACTGGTCACTAAGATGAAGAAAAGTCTGGAAACTGCTATCTGGTGAAATGAATACAGAAACAAATTAAAAAAAAAAAACACCTTTTTTTTTAATGAAAAAACTTTTTTTTAAATGTTTATTTATTTGAGAGAGAGAGAGAGAGAGAGAGAGAGAGAGAGAGAGAGCACGAGCAGGGGAGGGGCAGAGAGAGAGGGAGACACAGAATCCAAAGCGGGCTCCAGGCTCTGAGCTGTCAGCACAGAGCCTGACGCGGGGCTCAAATTCTCAGACTGCCAGTCATGACCTGAGCTGAAGTTGGGACTCTTAACCGACTGAGCCGCCCAGGCTCCCACAAATTTTTGAGCCTAGAAAAGAATAGACTTGCTATCAAGGGGAAGGTGGGATGAAAATTCTATAATTGTCTACTGACCGGTTAGTTGGGGGAGGGGGAGATTAGACTTATGTTTGAAATGTTGGGTATTAGGTCAAATAAGTAGGAATAAGAGTGAAGACTGTTGTGACTGAATGCTAACAACTTCCTTCAAATTACAGCTGTTTAGAGAATAATAAATTCCCTTTCACTAGATGCATTTAGTAAATACCTATCAGATCGTTTCAGTGAGAGTCCTTTATTGAATGGACTGGAGACCCAGAGATTTAGAATTCAATTTATAATTTTATGGTTAGATCTCTAGGTCCTAATTAAAATATTGCATTATTAAGACATTAACACCTTCATAAGTCAGAATTTGAAAGTAGAGTACTAGGCCCAAAATAATTTGGTGAACAAAATTCCATTTTTATTAGAATTGTGATTATATCCTTAGTAAATACTTCTTAAAATATTTATCTTTTTAGATTGATTAATACTTAATATAAGTCTTAGTCTTATAGTGGGTTCATATACTAGTTAGTTGTTTGGTTTTTAAACCAGAGTTAACAACTTTGCATAGATTTTAGCAGATATTTGCTTTTTAAGTTATTTATTACCAGCTTATTAATTTCTCTGAGATACTTGTTTTTAAAAAAATTTTTTTAGGGGCACCTGGGTGGCTCAGTCGGTTAAGCGTCTGACTTCGGCTCAGGTCATGATCTTGCGGTTCATGAGTTCAAGCCCCGCATCGGGCTCTGTGCTGACAGCTCAGAGCCTGGAGCCTGTTTCAGATTCTGTGTCTCCCTCTCACTCTCTGCCCCTTCCCTGCTCACACTCTGTCTGTCTCTGAGAAATGAATAAACCTTTAAAAAATTTTTTTAAAAGTACATTTGAAATTTTCACTTGTTTTGGTTGGAGTCTTGGGCCCAGCTCGGATCCTGGAGCCTGCTTCAGATTCTGTGTCCCCCTCTCTCTCTGCCCCACCTCTGCTTGTGCTCTCTCTCTGTCTTTAAAAAAATGCAACGGGCCTGGGAATGGTTCGCGCAGTTCTCGACTTCTACCGGTCACGCATCTTCGCTGTCCGCGGAGTTCTGTGAAGCCCCGCGTGGGCTCTGGGCTGAGGTCAGGGAGCTGGAGCCGATTGTTTCTGATTCTCTGTCTCTCTCCTCTGCCCCTCCCCTTCATGCTCTGCTCTCTCTCTGTCCCAAAATAAATAAACGTGAAAAATTAAAAAAAAAAAAAAAAAAAAAAAAAAAAATAAATAAATAAACATAATTTTTTTTTTAAATTTTTAATGTTTATTTTTGAGAGAGAGAGAGAGAGAGTTAGTGGGGGGAGGGGGGAGAGGGACAGAGAGAGCGGGAGACGCAGAATCCAACTCCAGAGCAGGCTCCAGGTTCTGAGCTGTCAGCACAGAGCCTGATGCAGGGCTCGTGAGATCATGACCCGAGCCGAAGTCAGACGCTTAACCAACTGAGCCACCAAGGCACCCCTGTTATTTTTGTTATTAGAATGGTTTAAGGGGAGATACTCTTATCTTAGTATCTGACTTTTAACACTTTTAAAGGGCGCCAAGTGAAATAATATATATAAAAGACTTAGCATAGTATCTGACGCATGTTAACTGCTTAATAAATGTTGGATACTGTCCTTATTGCTGTATAGTCAACTCTTTGAAAGAGTGAGAAAGCCCAGCAAGTAAAAAAATAATAAAGTGGGTGAGTTGAATTATACATTTACTGATTCACTAGTAGTTAACATAATTCTTCTAAATGAGATCCTTTGTATTTAAACTTTGTATTCAAGTGGTTTTCTTCATGCGTAGTCATGAAAAATTGATTTAGATGAGAACCCAAATAAAGAAGTGTTAAGAAAGCTAGAATGGGAGCAAATAGCAATTGTCAGTAGTTGTGATCAGAGTGGATTGGGGCCATTAGCAGGATCAGAGTGCTAGATAGCTGAAGATGCTGTAAATTTGAAACCTGACCATTTAGTAAATCATAGTTCTTTTCTTGACTAGACTAATAAATGAAACCAAGCCTAGAAACCTGATAGTCTTATACTTACTTCCAAAACAATATGAAGCATTTTTAAAGATACTAATTAAACATACCACACCAGTCTTTAAAGAGGAATTTGATACATTTAAAGTAGATAAAAACATTTTGGTAGGTCCCTGACTGTAAAACTTAATGACACTAGTGACCGAAATGGACAAAGTCAAGGCCCTTGAGGGCTTTACTTTCTAATGGGCAGTAGACAGGCCTAATAGTAGAGTTCTGACCCTCAGAGCAGACTATAACGTGTCTCTCTGCTTCCTTCTGTTTCTCTTTCTCTATGAGCTCATTTATTCAACAAATATTTATTGAGTGTAATGGTGCCTGGCAGTGTGCTAGGTACCTTGTGGTGTCCCCGGACCAATTTCTGTTACCATTCTTGACCACTCTGTGGTCAGTAGATGAGATGTGGTATCACAAGAACTAGAGAGGGGGGTTATTCTAGGTGGATGAAAAATAACAACCGATAGAAGGCATCTCACAGGGTTTTCTTTTCTAAATCTTCAGAATGTATTTAGACACCTAATTTAACGACTAAAGTTTATCAGTAGAAGACTGTCAGATTGGCAAGTGTTCGGTATGGAAAGATATATTATGATAAACTTTTTCATTAAAGTATAGCACTTGGTTAAGTAATATTCAGTAAATAGCTTGATAGATATTTACAAATATCCACACAGGTGGAACACACCTGTGTAACCACATCATTTCCCCTCTTAGCCACCACTGCCCTCACTCCCACAAAAGTACTTACCATCTTGACTTCTATAAACACCAATTAGGATTACCTTTAAAAAAATAGTATCATACAGTATATACTTTTTGATGTCCAATTTTTTTTGCCTCCACAATATGTGTGAGCCATCCAAATGTTGCTTGTAATAGTAGTACATTCCTTTTTATTGCAGTATAATATTCTATGATAGAGATATATGATGATTAATTATTAATTTATTATTCATTTTCTGAGTTGATGGGCATTTGAATGGTTTCCAGTTTGGGACCATTGTGAGTAATGCTACTATGAATACTTTTTTGCATGTTTTTTGTGCTCATATATGTACCTTTCTAGAGATATGAATCTAGTTGTGGATTTCCTGGGCCATTCATTTTACGTGTGCTCATCTGTAATAGGTGCTGCTGGTTTTCCAAAGTGGTTGTGCAAGTTTACCCTTCTATCAGTAGTCTACAAGAGTTCTAGCTCCTCTACATCCTTGCTAACACTTGGTATCATCAGTATCATTCTTCTTTCTTTTCCCCTTTATTTTATCCGTTCTGATGGCAATGTAGGGATATCTTTTGGTGGTTTGGACTTGCAATTCCCCGGGGACTAAAGATGTTGAGCACCTTTTCATGTATACGAAATATATGTGTATATATAGGTCATTTGGTTAACCCTCTTTTGTAATGTACCTGTTAGTTCCTTTGTTTTCTATTACGTGGTCTCTTTTTCGTTTGTGGTTGTTTCATGGCAGAGGG